TTCTTTCATGATAGAAGCTGAGAGGCCACGCCATTCCCCAGCTCATCTGCACCAATGACAAAGGCCTGTGTTCAGCTTTGGCCAGACAGATGCCTGCCCAGGACTGTGAATTGATCACATCTACTGTCACAAAGATGTGGGCCAGGGCAGAATTTTGTCCTGGTGATGGTGGCTGTTCCTTGGGACAGCTGTGCCCCCACACCTGCAATCATCTCCAGTGCCAGGGCAAGGAGGCTATGAAATGAGGTGCCCCGTGTAGGGCCCAGGTTGTGGGGTGGTTTGACAGCATTAGCTCTGTAGCCACCCTTACCAACACTGACACAGTTCTGATCCCCTAGCACTTAAAAAAAAAAAAAAAAGGATTTTAAAGAATATCTTAATTGATTTTTAGAGAGGAAGTAAGAGAGAGATAGAAACATAGACAATGAGGGAAAATCACTGATCAGCTGCCTCCTGCACACCCCACACTGGGGATCAAGCTCACAAGCCCTGACCAGGAATTGAACCCTGACCTCCTTGTTATAGGTGGACACTCAGCTACTAAGCTACGGTGGCTGGGCCCCCCAGCACTGTTCTATATCTTGTCTTTTCTCCATATCCTATCGGCCCAGAAGCTGTTTTCACTTCCAGCCTTGCTACCTATGTCTCTCAGATGTGGTGCCTTTTGCAGCTCTCCTGCGGCTCTCTCAACTTCTCTTAGACCAGCTACTTTCAATTTCAGGCTGTTTGTTTTAAGGCGCTTGTCTTTGGTGACGGGAAGGACACTGACTTTGGATTCAAATTCTAACTTACCAGATGTGTGACCTTGGGGAGTTAAACTATTGAAGTCTCAATCTTTTCCTCTCTAAAACTAGCTAATGAGCCGAAACTGGTTTGGCTCATTGGATAGAGCATCGGTGTGTGGACTCAAGGGTCCCGGGTTCGATTCCAGTCAAGGGCATGTACATTGGTGGGGGGTGTGCAGGAGGCAGCTGGTCGGTGTATCTCTCTCATCGATGTTTCTAGCTCTCTATCCTTCTACTTTCTTCTCTGTAAAAAAATCAATAAAATAAATTACAATATAAAACTAGCTAATGACAGTGGAAGCCTCCCCCCCCCCCCCCCCCCCCCCTGTGTTTTGAGGATTCAATGAGTGAATGCAGTGCACGGTAAGCATCTCACACAGTTTGGTCCTGCAGTAGACGTGCCCTCAATGCAAACTGTATTTCCTGGGAGCATTGAAACCAGGGTCCTTGGGGAAAACAATGGGCTATAAATTAGACCATCTCAGCTGGTGACAAAGAGATGAGCTTTTTCCATGGCCGGCAAGGTTGCACCAGGTCTGTTTCCATGAGGTTCACTCTATGGTTGTCCCCCATGGAGACGGATCCAGTGCAACCAAGACAGCCTGGGTCCCTGCAATATTCTGCCTTCAGATGCTGCCCCTCCTCTGGACTCAGAGCCTGGCTCCTTTCTCCCTGGTAACTCTGAGGCACACTAGGAAGAAACGGAAGACCTGAGGGGGATGGTTAGGATACTAAGAGATTCCTTCTTTGACTGCCCCCATTGGTGCTTTCTTCTCTGAGTATGGAAACACGGCCATTCTCTCCAGACTTTTCAAGCCTGTCTCCCATGACCATCCCCAGACTTTCCCCACACTCAGAGGAAGGTGTCCCATTCCCCTGGTACCCAGCACCCAGCACCCAGCATCTGGTAGGAGGGTAGTGCAGGCCTTTTACTAATCAGTTGCTCCAGGCCCAGTTCCCATCCCTTCTCTGGGGGGATGGAGGGGGAGGAGGCAGGGAAGGTCCAGGCTCCTATCTGAGAAACAACCTGGTTGCTGTAGAAACAACCATCAGAAAAAAACAAAAACAGAATAGTGGGGAGAGTGGCAGGTGGGTTGCACTGAGGCCTGTCTTAGAAATGGTTTTGTTCTTGTTGTTTTTGCTTACATTCATTCATCACGGGTTAAAAACTCCACTCCAGAGTTTTAATTTTACATTCCAGTGGGAACAACAGAGTCCTTTTTAGCTGGCTGGTTCAGGAGCCTTTGAGCAGCCCCTGGAATCCGCGAGGATCAACAGGAGCGGCAGGGCTGGGCTGTGTTTGATTTAAAATTGGAACCCAGGAGGCAGAGGGTGGCTTTATATAGTCTGGGAGGTCCGGGAGCCTCGGCTCTGATTTATGAGGATCTTGGGGTAAGCACATGGAAGCCGAGGTAATATTTATAAATTCCTTCCCCAGGGGTGGGTGGAATGTTCTGAGCGGCAGTCAGCACCTTTCTGGGGGACATAGGGAGTTAGCTGTTTAAGTCCCATTATTCAGTGAGTGAAAGAAACGTGGGTGACAACTTCCTCGAAGTTTGTCCCAGAAAAACAGAGGGTGAGGGGCACGGATCTGTGGCCTGGCTCCTCCCTTCCATCCTTGGTGCCTCCCCTAGTTAAGGAGGGTTTGGTAGCTCCTCTCTGGTGCTCCAGCTCCGCGCCTCCCCTGCCTTTCTCCACAAGGGCAGGGACTCCACCTGGCAATTATGGTGACCACATTTTACCAACAAGACGTCTAGCTGGGTGTCTGAGGACAGGGCAGGTCCTGGCAGCAGGGGAAGAAGAAGGAAAAGAAGATGAAGCGAGACAGGGAGGAGGCTGCAGACAGAGGAGGCGTGGTCTTGGGCCCTGAGTCGGAGGCTGATGTGTGACAAGGCGCACTGAGTCAGCTTGGCTGGTGCAGGCAAGTGGCATGGAGGTCAGAGGACTCCCCTAAAATCAGAGAGTGCCTACCCAACGGCATCCCCCTTGGGCCTGGCAGCCCAGCAGGTAAGGAGAAGGGCCAAATGCTGTAGCCGAGCAGGCCGATGACCCTGCTCCAATGAGAAAGGATGGCAGAAAGCGACTTCTATAAACTTGTATTCAGAAATGTAAACCCAAGGGGAGGGAAGGAAACATTCAACTCTGTGGGGCCACCTTGACCATGTCACCTCAGATTTCCCACGTGGACAGGAGAGAAGGCCACTTGTCACTCTCCTTTGTTTGTGATTCCTAGCTGATGCTCAGAGTCACGAGAGCCACACTGCCGATGACAGGGCAGGTGGTCTGAGGCCTCTGCTGTGTCTGGGACAGGGGAGAAATGGTCACCTCTGTCAAGCCTGTCCCGACCCCCATCTGTAGCCTGGTTCCTTACGGGAGCGACAGGGCTTGTCGGGAGGTCTTTCCTCCCAGCCCCTGCGCTGGCCCACCGGATTCTCCACGAAAGGCTCTCAAGCCTGACACAAAGCAATCAGAGAAGAATTACTTTGCTAAAGCACCAGGGGCCTAGGTGCAAGCCCAGAAAACACCTCATCCCATTCCTGCTGAAGGCGAGAGGCATAGAGGCCAGGGCCCATGTGGCCGACACCGGGAAAGAAGGGGCACAATGCCAACTGCCAGCCAGGTCCAGGCTGGCCACTACAGGCCAGCTGACACTGGTTGTGAGGGAGACCCTGACCCCACCCTGTTCCTTGCCTGTTTCTTTCCTTCCTACAGCATTTAGGAGACGTTCCAGGAAAGACACGGAGATCAGATTCATATTTGTCCCTGGGAGTGATGGCAATGTTCCCTTTGGCAGGTGGGGCCGTAATGCATGTCTGAACCTCTGAGGTGATGGCTGGCTTGGCTCTCTGCTCACAGGTGCCCCAAGGGAGCTGCATTCAGTGACATCTGGATGCTCTGTCCACGCTCACACGCTTGTTCTGTCTTCACACACAGGCCTGACTGCCGAGGGCTGTGGGGAGGATCGGCTTAGGTCCAGCCTGCAAGGCCAGGCCACAGAGCACCACTCTCCTCTTCCACCACTGGCTTCACGGCTGCACCGAGCTGGGGCCAGTTCCACCTGACACCTGCCCCTGAAGCATTTCAGCTCCTGCCCGCTTCTAGCCTCGTCGTTTCCCATGGACTACTCCTCGGGGTGGAACTATGTTGCCAAGCCTCACAGTGTTAGAGGCGGAAGGGATTCCTACAGGTGATAGCAATAGTAGTTGCTGTGTTTTAAGTGCGTAAGCATGCCAGGTGCTTTAAGACTGTTTCTAATCCCCACCAAGCCCAAGAGAGGCACCATAACAGTCATCAGGCCACTCCGCAGTGGAGGCAAAGGGGCATGGGGAGGCAGTGAGTGGTCAAAGGTACCGCCTTGCATTCAAGCCCAGCTCTGTTATTACCAGCTGTGGGACATTCACCTGGTTTCTCAAGTTCTTCATGGCTCAGCTTCCTTATTGGTGAGACAGGAAGCCCCTAACAGTAGCTCCTGCATAGGGTGGCAGTGAGCTGACAACCCAGCCCAGCCCAGCCGAGCCCCCAGGAGGGGCTGTGTGATGTCAGCTCTCATCACAGGGAGGCTAAAGGAGCACAGTCAGCAGCAAGAATCACAAGGCTGACTGGCCTCATGTTCTTCGTAGAAACATGCATGGTGGGGAGGGGGTGTCAGGGGAGAAGGACTTACCCAAGGTCAGCCAGCTGCTGGGAGACTGTCCCAGGGCTGGTGGCCATCTCTGACAAGCCCCAGTGTAATGTCTGTCTCCCAACACACTGCCTCCTTTGGAACTAAAACAATGTCTAACAAGGCCCCGTCAGCCCCTGGTTATCTGGCGAGAACTCTGGTAGAATGCAAGTAACCAGCTCTGGCCCCACACATGCCGGACATGCAGTTAACACCTTCTACCCCTCACCTTCCTCTAACCACACAGCCGGCACACAGGAGAAAGGGGAAGTGATCAGAGCACCTTCCCAGCTATAACTATAGCTCCTGGGGAGACTGCGTGGAGTTTTAACCACTCTCTGCTGCCGACTGACCCATTTAATCTGAAATAAAAATTCAAGAGTCACCTTAGGCAGACTTTTTACATGCCCACCATATAAGCTTTCACTGCATTTTAAAAAGGCACAGAAATGAAGATGCCAACATTGTTTAAACCGTGCACTTAACAAAGAACATTTCAGAAAAGAAAAAAGAAAAAAAGAAAAAAGAAAGAAAAAGGAAGAAAAGCAAGAAAGACCACAGGAACACAAATGCTTTATTTATTTCCCCTATGGTTTCCTTCTCCCTTTCATTAAAATTTCCCTCCAAGAAGATGAATACAGACATGTTACAACAGACCTGGTTTTACTCCCACCTTCCAAAGATGAGTCACCATCACGGGGGTTTGGTGAAGACAGAGAGGAAGGGGCAGGCGCTCCGTGGCAGCCAGCGCTGTTTCCCAGGAAGCCTGGTGTCTGTCGGGCAGAGACTCTGCGGCCACCTCGCTCCAGGGCAGGTGATAGCACTTGCCCGGGTCCAGCAGCAGATGAAGTGTGAGGGCTACCGTCCCGGTCCAAGTGCCAAGTGTCTTTGAGGGACCGGGCCAAGGACTCTGTGAGGTCACATCGCACCCTCCCCACCGATGGCCCGGTCAGAGCCACTTTCACTCATTCTTCTGCTCCTTGTCCTGTTGAGAGATGTCACTTTTCCTTCTGCTCCTGAGGGACCGGGGCACTCAGGCTGTGCTGGGCTTGCCAGCCAGCGGCCTCTGTGTCATTCTGGGTGCGAAGAGGGTGGGAGGCAGGCGGTTGGCAGGAAACAGGAGACAAAGTGAGAGGCAGAAAGCGGGCCTGAGCTCACCTGGGCGGGGAAGAAGCAGGGCCTGGGATGCTGGCGGGTAGAGGAAGCGGTGCAGGGCCTGAGGCTCTTGCTGCAGCCAGAAGCGGGCAGGCAGGTCCCCCGCAGAGCGGAGGGGGTCGGGGAGAGACAGCCCGGGGCTGCTGCACCTGCCAGCTCCTCACTTGGAGACCAGCATGCGGACGAACTCCTCGTAGTTGACCTGCCCGTCCCCATCCACGTCCGCCGCCTGGATCATCTCGTCCACCTCCTGGTCGCTCAGCTTCTCCCCGAGCCTGGTCATCACGTGGCGCAGCTCGGCCGCGCTCACCAGGCCGTCGTCGTCCTTGTCGAACACGCGGAAGGCCTCGCGGATCTCTTCCTCGCTGTCCCGGTCCTTCATGCGCCGGGCCATCATGCCCAGGAACTCGGCGAAGTCCACCGTGCCGTTGCCGTCGCGGTCGATCTCGCTCACCATGCCTTCCAGCTCGGCCTGCGTGGGGTTCTGGCCCAGGGCGCGCATGACGGTGCCCAGCTCCTGGGTGGTGATGGTGCCATCCCCGTCCTTGTCGAACAGGGAGAAGGCCTCCCGGAACTCGGCCAGCTGCTCCTCTGTCAGCTGGTCGGCCATGGCGCGGAGTTGTAGGTGCAGGTGCGGCTGGGGCTGCTCTCCTGGCTCCTCTCCTGGCTCTCCTGGCTCTCAGGGACGGCGGCGGGGCTGGGCGGGCGGGTGTTCCAGCCCTGGCTTGACTCACAGGCACTTAAGAAGGATCAGGGCTCTCCCTCTCCATTCAGACTCCCCCGCCTTGCGTTGCCTGAAGGTCGGGTCCTGTTGGAACAAGAGCCCAGCAGGGCCGGGAAGGAGGCTGGTTGGCGAATGGAGCTGATGCCAGCGCCTCTGTGTGAAAGGCAGTGGCTCTCTGCCCCACCATACCCCAGGACACCTTCAGTGAGGCGTGCTGGGCAAAGGGATTCATTTGGGGTTTTTCCTTCTTGAATTTTTCTTTTCCCTTCCCTCCTCTCCAATCTTCACACCCCGCACTCAATAAAGTCACCCACCCTGCACTCTTTCTCCCCTTCACGCGGAGGTTTTTGGCAGTATGAAAAGCAGAAGTTGTCTTTGCCTGAAAGGAACTTTCTTTCCTTGTTTTCGGTTTCCAAAGCCTAAAAGAAAGCCTTAGGGTTCCCAAGAGGGTATTCAGAGAAGGAAAATATATTTCCTATGGGTGGAGAGCAGAATGCCTTTTTTACTTCAGAAAACAACAAACAAACAAACAAACAAACAAACAAACAAACATGGTTGGAAGATTTCCTCCAGCTCATTCATTCACTCCTTCATTTATAAATATTTATTGAGGGCGTACTATGTAAAGAATAAGGTAGGCAACTCCCAGTCCTTGAAAGCTTATATTCCATCCGAGAGATAGCTAGTTAGCAAGTAAACTAACAAGCAAGATACTTGGATATTTTTTATGAGTTTAGTTGAGCCCAATCTGACAATTGCCAGGAAGAAAGACCTCAAATGCTCCTGGATACTTGCATACTATTGATACATGCCCAGAAGGAAATAAAGGGGGTCATGATGGAGAGAACATGGGGAAGTTACTCCTATAGTGATAGAAGTGAAGGAAAAAGGTTTCTCTGCAGAGGTGGCATGTGAGGGTGACCTGAGGGGGCAAAAGGGGCTTCCCCACCAGGGAGGCTGAGTGGGCTCAAAGTCAGGGTGAGAGAGTGCTTGGCCAAGAGACATAACGGCGACCAAAGTGGCTGCAACCTAGTGGGTGAAGGGGAGAGAAGGAGAAGAAAGACACACAAGCGAGGTGTTGTAGGATACAGAGAGGAACTCATTCTCTGATCCTTGGAAGTCCCTGGATATTATAAGAAGGCATGTCTGAAAGTCTGGGCCCCTGGTTTGAGGAAAGAGCCAGCACTGAAATAAGAGGTATTTTTAAGAGGAGATATTCATAATAAGGGACTTAAGAAGGGATGTTCACTAAGCATACAAGTTCCTCCCCAAGTCCCAGGAAGCCTGGAGAAATGACAATCCACAGAGTGAGACAAGGATGCTTTGCCTGTAGGAAGCCATGGAAATCTGAACTGGGAGCAGCCCAGAGAGCCAGAATGATACTGAGGGAGAGTCACCATAAGACTTTAAGTAAGTCTTAAAGTCAAGGACGGATGCTACTTGACTTTAAGACTTACTCTAAACTGACAATAGTCAACACAGTGTGGTATTGGCCAAAGAAAAGGCAGATCAATCAGTGGAACAGAATAGAGAGCCCAGAAATAGAACCTCATAAATATAGTCAACTGATCTTTGACAAATGAGCAAAGGCAATACAGTGAAACAAAGATAGTCTTTTCAACAAATGGTGCATTCAGATCCACTGCCAAACCAGTATTACATGAAATGCTGAAAGGTATCCTATCTAATAAAGAGGGAATATGCTAATTGACCATCACTCTGTCATAAAAATGGCTATACCCACAGCTGAGGCCAAGTTCCCATAAGGAGCCTTAATGAGCAATCAGCAGGGACCTGAGGCTATGCCCTCCCCCACCCCGTGGGGCTTGACTGGGGACCTGCCCTGTCCCCCACCAAAAGCTCCCCTCAATCGAGTTCCCACCCCACCCCATGCCCTTACCCTCCCCCCACTCTCCTCATCCATAGGTGTATGATTTCTGTCCAGTCTCTTCCAACACTCACTCCCCACCCTCCCCAAGGATTGTCAGTCCACTCCCTTTCTATGCTCCTGATTCTGTTATATTCACCAGATTACTCTGTTCATCAGATTTTTATTCACTTGATTTTTAGATTCACTTGTTGATAGATATGGAGAAAAACAACTGTAATAATCTGAACAATAAATATTTAATTTAAAAATATGAATCTAGACGCAGACCTTATACCCTTCACAAGAAGTAACTCAAAACGGGTCAAAGATGCAAATGTAAAATGCAAAACTATAAAACTCTTGGAAGATAACAGAAGAGAATATCTGGGTGACTTTAAGTTTGGCAATGATACCCAAAACCAAGGCCTCCAGTTTGGATCTGGATTGGGTTTAAATATGACATCAAAGGCAAAACCCATGAGGAAAGAATTGATAAACTGCATTATGTGGTCTAAATGTGTCCCTTCAAAGTGAATATCCTCACCAGCAAAGGGACATTCATGAAATAATACAAGGGCAGTAGCAGGAAGCAGAAGGAAAATGGGTGGACATGGGGATGTAACTGACACAGTGTCCTGGAGAACCAAGCATTGTGGGAAAACTTGTGCCTGAGACAGGCCTGCTAATGGACGAAGACTTTGAGGCCAGGCAGGAACATGTTCTTGCTTCCTGCCTACTTCGCCTACAAAAGGTTAAGTGGCCAATGGGCATCTGCAGGTTTCTGGATCAGGTGTTGTGGCTCAAACACCCAGCCTTTGCCTAAGTGTATTCTCCAACAAGGAACATTGAAATAGAACTAAAGAGAGAGAGAGAGAGAGAGAGAGAGAGAGAGAGAGAGAGAGAGAGAGAGAGAGAGAGAGAGAGAGAGAACTCAGTAAGGATTTTAAACAGGATTACTCATGACTCACAAAGACTAGTGCTGGGATGGGCTAAAATGTCGCAAATTGCTAGTTAGGAAACTGTGACAGAGGGATTGTTTATTTCATGGGCTTCTGCAATTCTCTCCCTATAGTCTCTCAGAGGACTGATTTCCTTCCCTACAGATTACACTTGTGGTCGTAGGACCATTTAAATATGTAAAAATTATAGAGAACTCTGAGAGCTTTTGTTTATCTATAATAGGATCTATCTATCAGATTTTCCAGGCTTGAAATTAAAACTGAGAAGAATTTTAAATATTTAAATATATTTTACATATTTATTTATAACTTAAAAAATAGAAATAAAAAAACCATTATATGTTAACATAAATAACAATTTCATGAAAAATAACTATATTTCTAAAACAAAAAGGAAGAAGAGTGACACCTAAAAAATAATTTTGCAGGCCGAAACTGGTTTGGCTCAGTGGATGGAGCGTTGGCCTGCAGATTGAAAGGTCCCAGGTTCGATTCCAGTCAAGGGCATGTACCTTGGTTGCGGGCACATCCCTATTAGGGGGTGTGCAAGAGGCAACTGATCGATGATTCTCTCTCATCAATGTTTCTAACCCTCTATCCCTCTCTCTTCCTCTCTGTAAAAATTCAATAAAATATATTAAAAAAATAATTTTGCAAATCTCTATCTGGCTTTATAGAAGCATTTCTGTACTCCACCTGTGGGAACACGTTGTTTTGATCTGAAATATGTGATAATCCAACTTTACACAGATATGCACTTGGAAAAAGAGAGAACATTTAATCTTTTATTTTCCTCATCTGAGGACATTGATGTGTGAGAGAAATATACCCCCAGTGGAAATTGAACCTAAAACACAGGTATGTGTCTTGACCTGGAATCAAACTGGCAACCTTTTGGTGCATAGGATGACACTCAACCAACTGAGCCACTCCAGCCTGGCAAGGAGAGAACATGCAGATGACTCTTTTATAGCTTAAATTCAACTCTTGAATGCCCATTGTACTTAGTAGCATACTAAGAATAGGCAATCCAGGGTTGAATTTAATAAAATAACAATTTTATTATTTCTGCAAAATATTCTTAGGTGAAACTGGCTTTTTTTTTTTTTTTTTTTTTTTAAGAGACTATGTGGTGGTAAAGACTATAATGACTACTAACTAGTACAGGAGACTGGATTCATGCCAAAGGGTTAGTAATTTTATTCACCATTGCTTTTGACCTCAGTGCAAGATGCCATCATAGTGAAAAAGGTAACGATGTCTTGGTACTATTATGAGAATAGTTTTGACCTCCCAGAACCACTGAAAAGGTATTGTGGACACAATCCCCCCAACTAGACCCATGGAACATACTTGGAGTACTATATCTGTGGAGTGTTGGGAACGAGCAGTCTGAATTGGGTGTAGAATTCCTTGGGCTGGAGGTGGGAGGTGCTGACGATGCTGGAATCTTGGCAGGGATGGTATTGGCCTTACGGAGTATAGTATTAATGAAGACCCCAATAGAGACGTATTGGGGGGACCCACCTGCTGCAGCCAATTCCTTTGAAGACCAGATGACCCAAAATATTGCCTTCTCTGAATTGGTGCTATAATAGCTTTTGTTAAAAAGAATTTGTTCAGCACACTTGTGAATGTACCTCTTATGCTGGGTGCCATAGAAAAAGTTATAGATTAGGATTTTCCAATCTTTTCAACCAGTTCCACTCCTGTGCATTGCTAGATTGGGTGTGGCCGAGAGTAACCATGGGACTAGCTTTCTCTCTTGATTAAGGCATCTACCAGCACCAACATTTGCTTACTACTTTCCTTTTCCCCAATTCCTATATAATAAAAAGGTAATATGCAAATTGACCATTACTCCAACACACAAGATGGCTGTCCCTATGTGGTCAAAGATGGCCATTCCCATGTGGACACAAGATGGCTGCCAGGGGAGGGCAGTTGTGGATGATCAGGCCAGCAGGGGAGGGCAGTTGAGAGGAACCAGGCCTACAGAAGAGGGCAGTTGGGGGTGATCAGGCCAGCAGGGGAGGGCAGTTGGGGGCAAACAGGCTGGCAGGGGAGCAGTTAGATATCAATCAGGCTGGCAGAGGAGTGGTTAGGGGTGATCAGGCTGGCAGGCAGAAGTGATTAGGGACAATCAGAAAG